GAATGCATGCAATTTAATTTCAGAAAATGCACATTAATCTATAGCTACAGAAAGCAGATCAGTGGTTGCCTGGGGAGAGAAGGAGTTGGCAAAGTAAGAGCGTAGGATTACAACAGGACATGAGTGAACTTGGAGTAATGCGTATGTTCACTATTTTGTTTGTGGTGGGTATACTCATAAGTCAAAATTTAACACATTCTACATTCTAAATATGTGCGACATATTAAGCAATTTTTTGAGCAATTATGCCTCAGTATATCTAAAAATCTAGACATCTGACAAAGGACTTTTACTCAAAATATATAACAAACTCTCACTCAATAATAAGATTTACACAAATAAAATTGGTAAAAGTTTGAACAAACATTTCATCAAAGAAGATATTCAAATAACCTATAACTACACTATGCTGTTGTTGTTGTGTGCTATCGAGTTGATTCGGACTCACAGTGACCTTATGTGGCAGAGTGAAACTGCCCCACCACAGGGTTTCCTAGACTGTAATCTTTTATGGGAGCAGATCTCCAGGTCTTTCTCCCTCAGTGCAGCTGGTGGATTTGAACTACTGATCTTGTATTTAGCAGCCAAGTGCTTCTGAACCATTGTGTCATCCAGACTCCTTAACTACAATAAAAAGAGTAAAATTAAAAGAAAAGGCAATACCAAGTGTTTATGAGGATATAGAGTAACTTGAACTCTTATACAATGTTGATGGGAATGGAAATGGTACAACTCTTTGGAAAATGCAGTTCTTTATATAGCTGAATATGCATTTACCATACAGACCAGCAATCCCACTCCTAGGTATTTCCCTAAGAGAAATTGTCAAGTTTGTCCACACAAAGCCTTGATCATGACTGTTCAGAGCAGCATTGTTCATAACTACCCCAAACTCAAAATATCTTAAATATTCATCTACTTGTGCATGGATAAACCAGTTGCACTTATCTCCATATGTATTGTTATGTGCCATCTGTTGTTATGTGCCATCGAGTCGGACCCGACTCATAGCGACCCCTCCTTCGGTTTCTACGGAAAGAAGTATATCTCCATATAGTGGAATACTATTCGCAATAAAAATGAAGGAACTACTAAACTACAATGGTAGTTGTAGAACCTACAAACACCTAAGGTATGCATCTCAAAAAAATGCTAAGGTAAAAACAAAAAAATAAACCCACTGCCACTGAGTGGGTTCTGGCTATAGGACAGAGCAGAACTGCTCCATAGGGTTTCCTTTAGGAAGGCAGATTGCTACTTATTTCTCCCAAACAGTTGCAGAATTTGAACTGCCAACCATTCATTTAGCAGCTGAGTGTTTTAACTACTGTGTCAACAGGGCTTCTATGCTAAGGTAAAGAATCCAGAAATAAAAATATGTATAATATATGATGATAATTACATGAAATTCTAGAAAAGGCAAAACTCTAGTAATAGAAAACAGATCAGTGGTTGCCTGCAGCCAGGTTTAGGGAAGGGAATTGACTGTAAAACGGCATAAGAGAATTTATTGGGATGATGGAAATGTTATGTACCATAACTGTTGTGGTGCTCACACAACTACATACATGGCCATAGTTATCAAACCTTAAACATGAAATGAGTGGCTCTGATTGTATGCAAATTATGCCTCAATATATCTGTTAAAAAAAAAATAGAAGCCAATTTTGCCTAACTCCTTCCTGTTGATGACTCATGCAGGGTTATCCTCTAGTGAAAAATTCTGTCTCATTCATGCCCACTCATAGAGCCACCCAAAAAAACAAAGGGTTAAGAACCTCCCTACCCCGTTTTGGAGTATATGTTTTCACGTGTATCTGAGTCAATTTATTCATCAGGAATTACGTTAACTTTCATTTAATTTCTCCCTTTTCACTGCTAGTAGATCTGATGTTTGGATGATGCTGGTGCTTAAAAAGTCAAATATTTCCTTTTAAAAGTGAATATCTAATAGTATTTCTGAATGTACAGTGAACCTTTATTACTAGAACGTGTCTTCTTATTTGGTTCAGTGGGATATGAAAATGCAACGTACTTAATTTTATTTGTTGTGTTTTTATCATTTATTGTTTCTAGATGTGTAATTTATGTCTTTAAAAATACTTAAAATCTTAACTTTATTAATTAAATCTTAAAATCTAGGGGATACCTTATAATTTACCTATTTCTTCTAGATGTGAATGCATTGTTAATATACATGTGTCTTTTTTTTAGGCCTGGTTGCAGTATGCTTGAAATTTGGGATGTGGAAGACCCTTCCAATGCAGCTAACCCTTCCCTGTGTAGCATCTTGCTTAAGGATGCGAGGCCTTACTTCACCACAGTATTTCAGAACAGTATGTACAGAGTACTGAAGGTTAACTGAGAATGAGACCACCCATTCCACCATGGTGCAAAGAAATGTGTCAAAAACAATCACTATTTTGCTTATTTACAATAAAAACCATAAGCTTTAATAAGGGATGCCCAGAAAAGAAGATAATAAAAATCAGTTAAAGTTGTTATGATTAGTAAAAGGTAAATTATTTCATTGTGTTCTGTTGAATGTCAGCCTTATTAAGCTTGTCATATAAATGATTAAAAGATTTCATATGGCTTAAACAAATGTTCATCTTATAGTTTTAAAGAAAATGTATCTAAACTTGGGGTTAAACATAATCAGAGAAGGAAAGAAGCCCAGTTAAATTCATCAAATGAGGTTTTGCTTAAGATTTTAGATTTTTGAAGCAAAGGCATTTTCATCTTAATAGCCCTGTACCTTATTGCACAGTCTTTCTGGATGTTGTCTTTTGTAATAATATATTTTTAATACCTCATTTAGTTTTTGTTTTGGATGAGGATGATCACATTTTATAAATCTGCTTTATAAGACTTACCCAACAATAATGCTTTGAAAGTGGTAAAAGGTTATCTATAAGATATTGTTGCCATATGCCAGAAAAACACTTTTCTTTTCTGCTCGATAAATACTAAATATACCATATATATGTTATTTTAATGTGTATCTACTTTAAATCATCTCAGAGTTTTAATAATTATCTTATATTCTTGTACTGAGATGGCAAATGACTTAATTCCATAGATCATTCATAATAGTTAGAAGATTATATACAGAACAACTAAATTATTTTCAACTTTTATAGTTATAAAATATT